ATAATAATTTATAAATTATTAAGGGTTCATGAGGGAAGGGGGAGGGAGGGGGAGAGGAAAAAAGGAAAGTGAGCTAATTCCAGGAATCCAAGAGGAAAGCGAATTTTGAGAATGATGAGGGCAACATATGTATAAGTGTGCTTTATGCAATTGATGTATTGTGATGAATTGTATGAGCCCCAATAAAATGATTTTTTTTAAAAAAAGGAATATTACCCAGAAATCCCATGTTCCTTTTAAAATAAAATCACCTATGAGACGAAATGGTTAATAATCACAATAAAACAGAGGAGAATGTCAGGAGGAGGGAAACTAGACGAACAGAACCATCACAACAGAACTAATGAGAACACTCACATGTAAGAATGTAACCAATGGTATTGAACAATTTAGGTAAAAATTATTTAATGGAAACAGCCTGAAAACAATAAAATATGATGTAAAAAATAGATGACTTTTACACTCTGGAAGCCCCCACCCCATAAGGTGGTAACAAGTGTATGTTTTTCACAAAGCCCAAGGCTACAGATGTTGCAGTGCTGTGTGGTTGCCTAAGTGCTTTGTTACTTTGAGGTGTGGAAAATAATCTATCACACTTTTCTACTACTTAAGAGATTTGGGATTTGGTATAAACCTAGTTTCAGGGTAAAGTACAAAGGTAAATGCAATTCTGAATGATAAGTCAACGTTGCACCTGGGCTCTTTTTTTATAAAGTTTTCTCATTTTCACATAAAATGCACAAAGATATCATTTGACTTGGTAAAATATTCACACTTTTTGTGTTCTAGCAACTTGGCCAAACGTGGAGTTGGGAGAAGGGAAAATGGAGTCTGGCAGAAAGGGATCCTGTTTCTTCAGTCTCTCCCTCTGGAGTAGGTTTTCTGCATGTGAAGAGAGATTCACAATGGTTATCCGAAGACCAGTCCAACAGAACTGCAGAGAGTAACATTGCTCTAAATGAATGTAGGAGTTTCTTGATGGAAGAAATACATTTTCATGATTGCCTCCTAGAAATAGTGTACATTTCTAGTATATCCAACTTTTATATTTCCATTTCCTCTAAACTACAAAGATTCCCATTAAAATAGTTCACAGTGTTTCACAGTAAAATGGTTTCAGTCATGTCCTCCTAGGAAAGGAGATAAAAAAAAACACATCTCTGTTTTAAAATCCATTCACATGTCAGTATCATACACCTGGTAAAAGCAGCCAAATAGAACCATAAATGCCACAAAGTCTTTTTGTCAACATTGGAGCCTGCTAACAACATGAATGTATTAGCTAGGTGTGTGTTGACTCCAGGAAAGTACTGAAGAGAGGCAGCCCATATGCTTGAGTTGTAGCTATCTTTCACAATGAGCATCAGCCAGGCTTGCCATGTCCCTATGTTTACTGTGAATATCCACAGCCTAGGCCACAGGCCAATACCAAGAGCCAACGGTGCCCCTCCTACCCATGCCCATTCTTCAGGGCATCTGTCTGACAGAGAATATACCGGGAGATGATTTTGTGGAAAGTATAACGGAAGTCTCGGTTCCGGTAGGCATAGACGATGGGATTGACAACTGAATTGGCATGTGATAGGAGGATGGCCATGTTCATTGCCCACTTGGGCTTATCTTTAGCTCGAGCTGGCTGAAAGAGAGTGACACAGTTGATAGCATGTACTGGTAGCCAACACAGAGCAAAAATCCCCACGATCATGGCTAGGGACTTGGCTGCATTGATCTCCCTTTGAAGTGTGGTTCTCGACTGGTCCATCGGCTCCGTGCGCTGCAGCTGCTTGCAGGCCACCATGAAGATCTTGATGTAGATGGCCAGCATGATGAGCAGTGGGGGCAGCACACAGCCAAAGAAATTGAAATATACCATGTAGCTCATGGGCACGACATTCTCAAAGAGACACTTGACCAGGCAGCAGCTTTCGTTCACGGTTCCGTCCCAGGGCTCTGTGCAGTTGTTGGTGGCACTGTCCATGCTGTTCCATCCCAAGAACGGGGTCAGTCCAATGCCAAAGGCAAGGACCCAGAGGACGGCAATGACTCCTCTTGCGCGGGTCCCGGTGACCAGACTCTTATACCTGTTCAAAAGAACATCATCCGTTATGATCAGTTTACAATACGCTGCAATCAGAGTCCAAACCCCACATCTGTTTTTGTGCCATGGTCCTTGGTAACCTCTAACATTTATCCTCAGAGCGCACTGTACCTTCACCTGCGGTGCTAAAGGGACATAATCACGATGTGAGCCGCTTTGCTTTACCAAGGTCAACAAGATGTTAATTCTTAATAGCCACTTCTGTTTGGTGGTGGAAATCCTGGTCCACGAGGAGCAGTGGGGAAGTTGTAGCAGAAAGGTTCTCTTAACTACATAGCTGCTGATCTTAGAATCGAAGTCTTCTGCAGCCATGATTCTAGGTGAAGACGGGTGCATTTGTGAACATAACCTAGCTCTCTGTTTTTAGCGGAGACAGATAAACAATAAACATAGGTTAGTAAATCTTATAGAATGTTAGGAGCAGACAAGTTTGGTATGAACAAGATAGGAAAAGAAAAGGACTGTAGTTTTGAAGGGGTTGTTGTGGGAGGTGGCAGATGAGGGGTTTCATTGATAAGGTGACATTTGAACACAAATCCAAAGGAAATAAGACCTGGGACCCCTGGAGTTAGGCAGTACTTCCTGGTGGCTCTATCCCCGAAAAACCTCTAAACTTCTGGAGAAAAAGATGGTGGAGAAGGGCCAACAGCAGAGTTGGAAAATAACCTAGCAAATAGTACGCAAGTCCTTTTCCAGTAATTTTTAACCAATTAAAACTTTATTAAAATCTTTACAAGTTATATTTTAGACCCTTTGCTATAAAAACACATGTTGACAACCATTCAATCTAATATCTTGAAGAAATGAAATAAAATCTTTCTGTAATCCCTAGCGGGAGGGGGCAATTGGGAAATAATTAAGTACATTAAGATTTGTCTCCAGTTAGCGTCAAATTTCCTTTGCATGAAGGACAAAGCCCACTCTGTTCTGCGAGGCCCCCTCACAAAGCCGTGCAGACCTCCAGCCCACTGAATACAGAGGCTGCCACTCTCGAGGCTCGTGCTTCCAACCCCTGACAAAACACTTCTTCCTCTTTCAAGTGTCACCACCCCCTTCCCTGATGCCCCTCCCAGCCAGAGGAGCCTGCTCCAGTCTCCGTACCCTTCTTCCCCATAAAGCCGACGGATCTGCTTCTCTGTGTTCCTCCTCGACTAGAATATCATCCCTCAGAACTGTTTGGACCCACTCCTCTTTCTGTCAGGGTCTCCAGGGCCTGCCCCAAGCTTGGCTCATGGGTTTATATTAAAATATGGCCATCATGAATGTATTCCTTATCCATGTGATGTGATTTACCAAACAGCTCTAACGCGAGATTCGGCTGGATGGGAATAATGTTGCTGCCTGGACAAGCCGGAGGGCCGGCCGGGCTATTTTCTGAGGATGTTGCCTGAGTCCTGACCTCATAACTTACAGTGACCTCTGTTCTTTTCAACTCCCGATTAGGGCAGCTTTCATCGGCAGGCAAATCAGTTGTGTGGACTTTACTACAGAGGAACATTTGGGCTCCGGTGACAACTGCACCTTTCTTGGCCAATTAATCTATTGACTTCCAAGCCCCTTCTGATCCCTTCGCATCTGGGAATGTAAAACCAGTCCTTTAAAAAAAAAAAGGGGCTGTGGTGAAGGGAAATTGTTTGGTATGATTTTTCTATTCAGAATTTTATAGTGCCTACCCAATGATTGGGAGCGTGCAGATGTGATATAGAGGAGCCTAACAACTCAGGGAATGGGCACTTTCGTCATTCTTTGTATGAGCGCATTGCTAAAGCGGGAACAGGAATCCTGGAGATCATCAAGGAAGAAGAGCCGACAGCAGAGCACCAATGAGATCCCTGCCTGAAGTGGTGAAGGCACCAGAGGCTGCAGCACCAGGACCACGAGACAAAGCAACAGGCTTCCCCGCCCACAGAACAGGTAAAGCTGAGTGCCTCTGAGCAGGAGGCTGGCTTGCAGAAAGGAGTGCTCTTTCAGCATTGATCAGAGCTAAAGCAGCTTTTTTTTTTTTAATCATTTTATTAGGGGCTCATACAACTCTTATCACAATCTATACATACATCAATTCTGTAAAGCACATTTGTACATTCATTGCCCTCGTCATTCTCAAATCATTTGCTCACCACTTAAACCCCTGGCATCAGGTTCTCATTATTTCCCCTCCCTCCCCGCTCCCCTCTCCCTCATGAGCCCTTGATAATTTATAAATTATTGTTTTGTCATATCTTGCCCTGTCCGTCGTCTCCCTTCACCCACTTTTCTGTTGCCCGTCTCCCAGGGAGGAGGTCACATGTAGATCCTTGTAATCGGTTCCCCCTTTCCAACCCACTCTCCCTCTACACTCCCAGTATCGCCACTCACACCACTGGTCCTGAAGGGATCATGCACCCTGGATTCCCTGTGTTTCCAGTTCCTATCTGTACCAGTGTCATCCTCTGGTCTAGCTAGACTTGCAAGGTAGAATTCGGATCATGACAGTGGGATGGGGGTGGGGTGGGGGCAGCATTTAGGAACTAGAGGAAAGTTGTATTTTTCAACACTGCTACATCACACCTTGACTGGCTCATTGCCTCCCCGAGATTCCTCTGCAAGGGGATCTCCAGTGGCCTAGCTAAAAGAGCTTTATAAAGCTTGTTGGAGGAAAGTAGAGACCAAGGGGCTGCTTGGCTGAGAGACTGGAGACCAGGTAAGGATGGCTGAGGCAAGGCGCTGTAGACAAAAGGATTATATCCATAATGTTTTCTGATCCTAATTTGCAACCTAGTAACGTTCCTAATAAACCTCCACAATCCTGACTATTATCTGTAAGTGCTGTGTAGCCACTGCAACGGATTATGGAACCCCGCAAAAAAGAACGAACTGAAAAGATTACAGTTCACTGTCAATCCTGAGGTCATAAGTCAATGAGCATCCTCAGCCAACTGTACTGGCCCGCTACCTGTTGGTGTCGGAAGAGAAGAAGGGTGTAGTCATGTCCGAGCGTTGTCTTCTAGAAATCATCCTTGTGCAAACGTGGGATTGAATTCTCCTTGCTCCTTGTTTGGCTAGAGAAGGTCTGACGTGGCTCCCACACCGTTTCTTCATTGGCTACTGCCCCACGACAGATGGGAAGGACACAGTCACCCTTGGGGGAGCCCAAGGTAGCTTCCTAAATGCCGCGCTCAGAGCCACGAGCTCTCGGGTCGCTGAGACAGCCCCATCCGTACACCATCTTTCTTGTTCACAGGCCTGACCTGTATTCTGGCACTTGAATGCAGCCCAGCCCTGCAGGATGCATGCCGTTTGGGGGTAAACGAACATGGCGCTTCCACTCTCTTCAGTTTGGGGTGGTTTTAGCCAATAACACATAAAAGGAAGTTGGCTGGGGGGACTTCCGGAAAATATTTTACTTTGTATAAAAGGGGAGAGATCCCCGAGGAGAGCCCTTTTCCACACCACTTATCACCTGGTTTTGATATTCTTGAGAGAGTCTATAAGTCTAGCACAGCAGCGGCCACCATCTTGTGACCCTGAGGGACAAGCCTGAAGACAAAGCTAACATGGAAAATGGCAATGAAGGAAAGAGGCCAGGCTCCTGATGGCATCTTTGAGCCCCCAGAACAATTCTAAGTACCATGGATTCACTGTGCAGGCTAGGTAATTAAACGTCGTGATTACTTAAGCCAGTGCTTCTCAACCGTCCTAATGCCGCGACCCTTTCATACAGTTCCTCACGTGGTGGTGACCCCCAACCATAACATTATTTTCGTTGTTACTTCACCACTGTAATTTTGCTACTGTAATGAATCGGGCAACCCCTGTGAAAGGGTCGTTCAATGCCCAGAGGGGCCACACGCCACAGGTTGAGAATGCCGACTTAAGCCATTGTTTTCAGGGCGTGGGTTACTTGTAGCTAGAAACACGTATCCAAACTGGAAATGACTTTTACCTTTTTAGTCGTAACACTTCTTTCACAAATGAGAAACAGTTACAAAATCTGAGTAACAAAGATACTACAAGAACGGAAGACTGGAAACTAAGTTTGAATTCTCAGCTGTGATCCCTGCACTACATCATGCGGCCTCCAATGTCGCTTGGTTTTCTTTTAAAGCAGTATTAGATGCAGGGCTCCCTGCACATGGACAGTGCACAGGGGTGGCTTCCCAGTGGAGCTCAAAACAACACTGCAATCCACACACGTCTGAACTTCTCGAAAATTCTGGATCCTGCGCAAGGGAAAAATGACTGTGATGCCAAAGTGTAAGGCGAGACAGCTGATTCCATCAGGGGAGCAGTTGGTCAGTTTTCCCGTAGCCCCCTCATAGCCTCTTTTCCCGGCAGTTCACGTTATCATTCCGAGTTCTTCCCTTGCTAAGCACTGGAAATGATCGCTGCTCTCAAGGAACATAAGGGGCCTCGAGGTGGTGCGAGCAGTTCGTGTGCTCTGCTGCTCATGGAAAGGCTTGAGGTTTGAGTCCACAGACATACTCAAAGGGGAACTAGCTAATCTGCTTAGGAAAAATGCACCATAGAAAAGCCTATGGGACTCGGGAAGGAGACAGCCAGTCAGGGTGCGATGTAGCAACGATGAAACATACAACTTTCCTCTAGTTCCTAGATGCTTCCTCCCCCACCCACTACCATGATCCCAATTCTACTTTGCAAGTCTGGCTAGACCAGAGGATGTACACTGGTACAGATAGGAACTGGAAACACAGGGAATCCAGGGCGGATGATTCCCTTCAGGACCAGTGGTGTGAGTGGTGATACTGGGCGGGTGAAGGGAGAGTGAGTTGGAAAGGGGGAACCGATTACAAGGATCGACATGTGACCTCCTCCCTGGGGGACAGACAACAGAAAAGTGGGTGAAGGGAGACATCGGACAGGGCAAGATATGACAAAGTAATAATTGATAAATTATCAAGGGCTCATGAGGAGGAAGCGGGGAGGTAGGGGAAAAAATGAGGACCTGATGCCAGGGGCTTAAGTGGAGAGCAAATGTTTTGAGAA